TGCAATAGTTAAGAACTGAGTCTTCTATCGTCCTGCTGAGCCTTTAAAAATACCTGTATTTAAAGTAATTCTGTGGGGCGGGAGGACTGAGTTTGCTGTTTGCTTTGTCTTTAAGTAGAAAAACTGAGATGTTGACTATAAAAATACAAATAATGTGCTTAATCTAAAAAGTGAGAGGTAGCTGGTTTAATAAGCAAGAATGAAAAAGGAATATTCTTACACAGTTGTGTTATTGATTTGTAAAGCAGCTAGATGTTTCAGAAATCACATCCAGTTATCACAGATTACTGGTCATAAGTTGACATGAAATGGGAGTATGTTTGAATTCTCATTCAAGATCAATGTTCGCTTAGTTAGGAGATGAAAAACCAAAATTAAAATAGTTTAAGCCATGTGTCATCTTTTCTCATTTTTTGTCCCTTAATTTTCTATAGACAACTGTCTTGGTTTAAATATTTTTATATACTAGGCAAATGACAAAATGTAAAGTATTAGAGGTTTATATTTGCAAATAAAATGTCAAATGTAAAATAAATATTGGTCTAGGACAGTTTAAAAAATTTATAAGATGAGAATAACCTGAGTAACTCTTCTAGCCTTCATAAGCAAAATTTAAGAAAACAACAGCATAAGGGGTATTTTAGACTCCTATTTTGTCGGTTTCATTTTGGATGAGACTGGATCAAGATCCTAAAGTAGCGTAAATGAACAAGTCATAATAATTTACATATAAAACAGATGACTCTGTTTTAAGAAAGGTGCGTATTCCTCACTGACAAACTGAAATTATTACCATTTCTCTCCTTCTGATTTAATATTTGATATGTGTATAGAAAATACTTGTATTTCCAACAGTGTTTTCTCAGTATAGGAAGTTAAAGGCCAAAAATACAGTAGGGTGAAAATATTCTGCAACGTTTCTTGTCAGATGAGTAAAATAGCAAGGGAGACTTATCATCTAAACCAACTATGAGACATCATGATGGCAGGCAATGAAACTGCAGCCTAACAAATCAAGTTTAGCTACACTGAGGCACTGGTAATGCTGTGTTTTCAGTGTCTGCGCCATTTTCCTGGAGTCTGCCCTTCTCTTAGTCAAGTCTAGTGGAATATACATACTACCTTTAGATTTGAGGATAGCTTTACATACACTTCGTATATAAATGAGAAAGTTATTGAATTTTCAATAGCAGTTTCAGACAAAAACAAAGGGATTAGGAAAAGGCTAAGGAAGTCTATCCAGTAGCTGAGCAGGCCTTGATTTCATGGTGCACTGGTAGGGGAATTGCTCCAGGGATAAATAAATGGACTTCAGCCCCGAGAAATGTTATTTTCTTTAATGGTAACAAGAGTAAAGAGATCAGCTAAAACTCAATATTTACTTTGTTTTGCAGGAGACAAGGGTTTTTTTTGGAACTTGTCCTGCGTCTGTAAGGCTGTGTGTATGCCTGTGATTTTGCAGAAATATGAATGAATCAATTTGCACTGCTCTACGAGTAGAGAGAAGATTCAAGGACAGATCTGGCCACATGCATCGTGATCTCAAGGAGATCACAGTTTTCAACCCTTCAGCTCAAAAGATGGAACAGTCTACTCTTTAGTCACAGGCTTACATTGCACCAACATCACATTCCTTTTCTGTCTCTGAAACAGCCCTATACTCCCTCTGACATACTCAAGAATTCTTAGCAACAACCCATCCCACTAGCAATTCACAGCAGTGATAATGTAGAGCACATTAGTGGGTATGTGCAAGGTCCTGGGGCATTTTGCACTTGCAGTCAGCTTATCTGACTCCGCAATCATCTGTACCTTTCAGATGCTGCTTTTCTATCTGTGTTAGCAGAAGCAAGCTCAGTATTATTTGCATACAAATCACTGACACTTCCAGATGTTTCCCAGAAGACATTTATGGCCCCATGTGGACCACTGAGATAATTTTTAACCTCTGGAAGAGGCACCCTGGCATAGAGATCACAGCAGTACTACCATATACACAGATGAGGAGGGGCAATTTGAAAGCAGTAGGAAACAAAATATACTTTCTTCTCAAAGACACATGTGATCATCTACTTTTGTTCACTCTGTGATTCTTTCTTAAATTGCTGTTATTTAGTCTTTGAAAATTATGGGCTTTTGCTGGTACCTGCCGCTGCTAACTAGCTTACTGGATCAAGGGCTTTGAAGTGCAGATGTTGCAGACAGACAGATGTCAGCCACCTGGAAGCTTCCAGCATGGAAGGATTTAGGAGCACCCCTGACTGACAGGAAGTTTTTCTTTCAATGGGAAGGTGTTTCAAGGAGAAAATTTAATTCCATTTCAACTGTGGGAAAAAGAAGCCAGCAGGTGCAGATCTGCTTACTCCCACCTCTGATCTCTTGCAAGAGAGTTTAATCACTGGACAATTAGCAAAACCACATAAACTTGGATGTTAATATTTTCTCCTGGATGAAAAATGAACAAAATTCTAAGTAATTTTTAGAGGAGAAAAAATGGAAACTTCACTCTCAAGATTATTTGTGTTTTTAATGTGCATGTTAGGGCAAAAAAACTCCAGGACGTGTTGGCTAAAAGCCACTTAAGTTTTTATCAGACGGACCTTGCCTGGTGATGGCAGTGTTAGATGCTCTTCTGTCCTTTTTTATGGGTGAGAAAAGTGAGTTCCAGAGAAATTTTGCATTTCTTTAAGCTCAGTAGTTGGACATCCTGAGTGCTAACCCCATGAAAGTTGCTACCTAACGGGAATTAAAGATGTATTTTTCATGGACTAGCTCAAAAGATTTTTTCCATTCATGAAAATTTAATCTCTCATGGTTTAAAGGTAGTACAATACAGAGTAATTGTGTAACATTATAATCCATGTGAGTTAACACTCTTGTTACTCTCAAAGTTCTTGAGAGCAGATGCAATGATTATTGGTTAAACTTTTAAATATCGGAGCAGTGCCTACAGTGTAAGAACAGACAAATGATTTCACAGATAAATATGGTCAAATACGCAGGTGCAGTTTTTTGCAAGATGGCATCTCTGACCAAGGAGATTTCCGTCACAGGGACTGTCCTCACAGTACAGTTTCTTCATCTAAGCTTTCCTTGCCCTTTTTCTGACTTACTCCACCCGTGTGTAAAAATAGGACCCTGTCCATCTGTTTGTGGAATACATTAAAGAGAGTTCAGAGGGATGAAGGAGGGCTGAATTTAATAATTTTCATATTTTTTGTTGTTATGTTTCATTTCTGAAAATGGTACCTGCCTCATTTGGCAGAAGGGCTGTGTTTAGGTCTCTCCAGATAAATATTTCCATGCTACATGCACCTAAGTTTGGAGCTGAAGGGGAAGGAAGTGGGAAGAATTACACAGCCGTTACACCTTACACTATTTTCCATTGAGGAACCATCTTCAGCTGACCATCTGAAACAGTATTAGATACTACCATATTTGGAAGATGGAATCCTTAAGCTCTGATTATTTTTATGCTTTGAATTCTTATTTGTTTAACAAGGTTGGGGTTTCTTTGGATGGAATCCTTTGAATTCTGATTTGGCGATGAACACAGGCTGCTTTCACAAACCCTCTGCAAAGTGCAGTTGGAAATACTTACACCATGCCTTGTCGCATTACTGATTAAAATAGCACTTATGTTTTTCTGAGGGTTTTCTGGTAGCACTGCATATGGTAGCAAGCAAAACTAATTTAATACTTGATATCTACCCCTCCCTCTGGAAGACTTTTTCTTTCACCTTCTTCTGTCAAAACTTTACCAGGAGCGCTGATTTGTCACAATAAAACAACATGGCTAGCAACTACTCTGTTTCATGAAAATCCATTTGCAGTCTTCTGTTTTGATTGGCACAGGAACCAAAAACACACAGCTCATTCAGTAAGTGAAACTTCTAGCCTTTGTGAACTGCTGTAACTGTTGAAATAGTTACATCCGGTTAAGTACTCTTAGAATTACCAAAAAGTGAAAGACAAAAAATTGGCACAAGTCTATTGGAAATACTTCACCCTGTCTTGGTGTTGGGCATTTGAAAGTTCAATTTTTTTTTTATCCTAAGAAAGGACATGCTTTAAAGCTGTCTGCTTCTTGGGTAGAAATCATTCAGACATAAAAGTGACAGATGGACATGAGGATACAACATCCAGGAACAGGCATTAACAAAAGTCCTAACCAGCAGGCATGGATGCTTAGTACCACTGTGTGTGCAATGCATGCAGTAGATAATATTAGTCAATGGCAAGGTTAACATCTCTCTTCAGGACTAACGGCATCTGCAGATCTGTCCTTTATCGGCAGTTCTACAAAAGAGGTAGAAGAAGAACCCTGACACACACTCTGCATCAGAACCAGATTATCTTTAGGGCTCTGGACTTCAAATGCCATTGCCTTTCGCCCTTATCATGCAGGCAAGGAGGTATTGGAGCTAGCTGGTTGACTGGCCAGTGGCCACCGTGCAACATACAGGAATAGAAGACCATCCATATGCTGCTCATACTCAGGGAGTTAAGAGTGTACAGCAGTTACAAAAGACAGTCTATTCCTTCTTAAATTTATCATATCAGTTACCTTCAATATTTATGTACATGCACATGTTCAGTATTTGAGTAACAGAAATAACCCTCCTCTGGTTCTTTGTGCCTTTTAATGTTATGTCGTATTAGATAACTGGGCTGAATTAAGGAACATGAACGAAGGGCAATCAGAGGCAGTTGTACTCCCTTCTGCAGTTCTGGAGTTCTGGTCCGTAGTCCTCTTGGCAAGGCACCGTTATTCATGATGGTCATTTGCCACGTCTGTAATAAAGCAGTAAACAGATTCAGTGAACAAATTAGATATAATTATTATTGTTTCTGGGAAGGAGATTTTTGAGCTTTGTGCAAAAGCAAAGACAAAGTGGAAAAGAAGCAGCTCCTGGTAGGACATGACTCTCTGGAATTAGTCTGTGATGATAAGCAAGATTTTATGCTATAATTACAACCTTTCTGTTTGTACTTTCCAGTGAGCCATCTCTATGGATTTGGACTGATGGATGCTGAAGCAATGGTGATAGAAGCAGAAAAGTGGACAACGGTCCCTCCACAGCATATGTGTGTGGAGAACACAGATCGGCAAATCAAGTAATACCCGCTGCCAAAACTCTTGCTGGCATAAACTTATGGAAAGAAATTGGGTATAATTTACCCCTCCCTTGCATTGTGTATAATGTGTCATTTTGAAAGCTATACTGGGGATCTCCATTACCTTCACAGATGTCAGATCATTTATCTGTGAACATTGTTCCTTGTGATGCTTAGAAAAAGGACCTAGTTTAAAGAACAGCTCAGAAGTTGAAGGTGTAAAACAGACCAGGCTGGATTGATTCTGATATAGATGATGCACCAAAGAAGAATGTTTCATTGAATGCGTAGTAGTTACCTTTGTAAGATGGGTAAAGAGGTATCAGACCAGCATCTAACAAGCAAATACTCATTTCATTAAAATACTGCATGATATTGTCTTTCTCAGTCTCAGGAGAGTCTCTGGTTCAGAAGCTAAAACTAAACTGCTTTCCTCTTGCTAGGATAGGGTGTCTCTAGAACCAGCCTTAAGAGCAAAATTCTGTGTGTGCTCTCTGGATACAGAGACAGCATCAGTCATAAGGCACACTTCCAAAGCATTGTTTGATAAATATGCTTGACAGATTTAATCCATAACTGTTTTAGTCTGCAAGGATGTCGTGCCAATTTAAACCAGCTGAGTCAGATGCCGTTTGGTACAGTTAACATGTAATACTTGCTATTACGTAAGCAAGGACTATGGCTACGCCAGGCATTTCCTGGGGCTTAATAGCCAGCTGTGATCCCATGGCAGTCCCAACCGGTCTCAGCTGGCCACTAATCCACAAAAATGCTCTGTCCCAAAGGCTTATTCCTAATACAGGTTTTTCACTGCCCTCTTTTAGCATATGTGCATTCATAACAGAAAGCCAGGTAGTTGCCCTTAGCTGCAGTAAAATAATTACCCTGTGGTGATAATTTCAGCTAGAAAGTAAGTGTTAAAACTGATAGTTATAGGCTACTGACTTCTCAGAAACAAGTGTCAAACACTATCATTCACTAGTAAACAGTAAATATGTGGCTCTCTTATTTTACAGAACAAGCAAGAAATGCTGATATTGTTTTATATGCTTATATTATAGAACAATACGACCTGACAGCGTTGTCCGTTCCATTTACAAAGCCACTGGCTGTTCAGATAATCCTAACCACCATGTGATCTACTTGGAGCATGTCGTTGTGCGGATCACTATTACTCACCCTCGACGTGGAGACTTGGCAATATACCTAACCTCTCCTTCTGGAACTAGGTCACAGCTTTTGGCCAACAGGTATAGTACGACAACGCAACTTCACAGCTGAGTCAGCCTAAGAGAATGCGGTATCAGTATAGAAAAATCCAGTCGTAACAGTGGGCTCACTGGCAGACACAGGCTAATTAGTTTTTCTGAGAGAGATGCGGAGAGTAAAGTGCAAATGAACTCAAAGATGGCAATCTCTGTCTTCATCAGTAGAAGAGTAGGCTGTAAATCTGTTGAAGGACATCATCTCCACAACAAAGATTAATCAATTTCAATCAAGTTTCATGTGGCTCACCAATTATTAGGTGGCTGGAAAATGTGACAAAAATAGTAACAGGCTGTTTCAGAAAGAAGCTGAATGGAAGTGTGTTTCTACATGTTATTGGCACTTATTTTGCATTTTTTTCCTTTCTTATTCTTTGTTCAGTAGTAAGAAAAATCAGACAGCATAGTAGTTCTCTACTACTATTCTCTTTAAGCTTTGTGAATATGCTTATGAATCCCCATGTTACTAATTCCCATATTGCTTTTTCCCCTTTGCATATTGAATTAGTATGCTCAAACCATCAAAGGCTCCTAGAAGGACAATGCTGAGAAGTTGCAGCAGTGCTTTGAAATTGATGGGTCCGTTCGCAAACAGCCTATTAAAATTTTTAAAAGTCATTGATTTCCCTCATCTTGCAGATCTGTGATGGATTCTTGCTTTTGAATGTCTGGGCACTCTAACAACAACCACTGAGAAAGATCAGTCATTTTTCTTATCCTGTCACCTCTGTGTCACTGCATCAAATTGCCTCTTTTTTCCAGACTGGACTCAAACAAGTGTCTTTTTATCCAGTGCATTTCCAACATTAGTGCCATTTTAGTCCGTGGAGATGAGGTGCATCAGGAGTATTTATCCTCAGCAAATTGAAAAACTTCTCAGTAGTATATCTGTTTCTCTGGTCTACTAGCAGAAATTTTCTTGGAAGAAAACATTGACAGTCCTTCCCAGATAAATCTTCCCAAATCAGTGATCCAAAGCACTGTCTCCTACCAGAGAGTTAAAACGTGGAGAAATCCCAGAAACCTTCTCAAACTCTACCCTGTATACAAATGTGTGAATAAGTTACAGCTAGAGTAAGAAATGCTTCTATACTTCTCCAGCTGGCTAGAAAATCTTGTTCCTGACGGGACCATAGCATAACATGGAATTTTTTTTTTCCTTTGTGACTAGCAGGTGCAGATGATTGTCATTCTGTGGGACACACACAGCATGGCTCCCATGCAGAAGTTGATGTTATCTGATGTTACTTATCTCAGAAACAGCAAAAGCTGCCATGTGTCAAACCTAAGATGTGAGAACTCTTCTGCCATCATATTCAAGTCTTCCCAAAAGTTTATATCCCTAGTTCAACTCTTCAGGCCTTTAGGTCAATTGGGGGTGACCTACTTTCCAGACTTCCTCATCATTCAGATTGTTCCAGCCAGATTTTCTGATAGAGTGACTATCTAGCCCTGGAGACTTGCGTGTCTTCCTGTCCCTCAGTGGCAGAAGAACTTTCCTCTTAAAAGGAAGGACTTGTTGTGCAGACAGGTGAAGCTCAAATGGACATGGTTCGGATTGAAGCATGAACCCATATTTTCATTAGAGATCATTTTGATTTAAAAGAAAAGGTTTACTAAAAATACTCTTCAAGCTGTAGACATTAATTCTTCAAATGGAGAGAAAGCTGCCCTTGAACTTCGGGGTGCTCTAGGATATCTCCTGAGACTTATTAAAAGTATTGTCAGTGCCTTGCTGTTAAAACACATGGGCACAGACATCTCTCCTTGTTAGACTGAACAAAGAATTTATCCTCTGCCAACCAGTGCAGAGACAGACTTCTACCCTCTAAGCAGTTATGAAACAGACTTGTTTTTCTGTGTGAAGAAATCCTCCTTTAGTTGTCTATGCCATTTTATGCAGCAGTTCTTCAGTGCTTCAAAATGGAAAAAATTAAAAGTTCTCCAACTAGGTATCCAAACAAAACAATCTCGTGTAAACCCAGTGGTCTTAACACAGCTAACTTTTGGCTCTAGGCTTTCATGTCTTGCAGCTGACTCACAGCACATGGGAGATAAAGACATTCCAGTATTCACAGTTCACCTCTGGTGATGACTGGTATGTGGAATAGGTAAAAAGTTTAATTCAGTCAGTCTCTGTGTAAGCCCTACACCTTAGAAAGTAATTATTTTCTTTACCTATAGTAGAAAGAGAGAATGCAAATGTATGTATGAAAATAAGATGATGTTCAGCTGTTTGACTGTTTCCTATCTTACACTGTCAGAAGGCTAACCAGAAAACAAAGAAACCTGAAAGGCCTTTTTTATGTCTTGCTACTTTTCAAAAAAACCCGAACTGTTCATGACAAAACAAATACTTAGACAGTCACACCGGAAAATCCCTTCCCATGCATGCTTCAGAGATATACTGTCTTGTCAGTAACATTTGGCTGAAACAAGAAACTATGGGCTACTAATATTAAAAAATAAAAATATTTTGCAAACTCTAGGTCTGAAATACCTAGTCTTCACAAGCCATTTCTTAATGGTAAAGTGGACAAGAGTGCGGTACTTTTAGAATGATATTTCAAAGACTTTTCAGTCTTACAGCTGTAAGACTTTAAGTCTTACAGCTTAATGGTCTTGCGATTAGCAGTATACTGAGTGTTATTGGATATATGTGTTTCAGCATCATGTTGTAAAATAAAATTTCTAGTGGGAGTGTTGTTATTCACTAATACGAGAATTTAGTTATAAGGCATTTCGTTTTTAAAGTGTTATTGATGAGAGCACCCGAATAAATGCATTCAAGTACAAGTAGCATATAGGGATGCATTGGCAACAAGTGGTTTGGTTTTTTAATTTTTCTCTAGACCAAGGTCCTAGAAGCTGTTGTACTTTGCTCTACCTGACTGAGATGCATTTCTCAGACGTACAAGACCTTTTAATGCACATGTACATGATTAATAGCAGCAATACCAGCTAGTTTACTGAACCTAGAGAAAACCTCATTGCTTTACCATTACTCATCTGGGTTTAATTTGAAACAGTTTGCTGGTAAAATGTCTTAAAGTGCAAAAGGTATATTTTACACATGTGCATTTCTTCCCCACCAATTCTGGAAGAATAAGAATAGTGTCTGGTGCATTGACGAGTAGGTCCCTCAAGGCAATATCTGGCCTTTTTTCTGCATATTTTATCCTTAATGTTGGCATCCCCTAAAATGACTTCAGTATGAAAACTTGTTAGTCAGAGGCGATGTGGATTCCTTTGCAGGCATTTGGTGGATTACACTGTCACTGGCTTGAGCCTCATGTGCATTCTTCAAAAACTGCATTACAGGGAACATCTGCTTTGTTGTTTGGAAAGTACTAAACATGATTATATTGGATGTACTGCAGCAGAGAAAAATACAGGCTTGGAAAGCACTGGTGTGTGTGAGGATGAAGCTACAGTTAAGTCCAAAGGGGAACAGTATCTCCTTTTTAAAAACAATTGGCCATTGGATTTGGCAGCATGGGTTTCTGAGTGGTTTTGAGACATACCAAGGCCAGTTCTAACAAAAACTCAGTACAGGAGAGCTGTGGAGGAGAAGCTAAATACAGAGAGAATAGAAGAAGCAAACTTAGGGCTCATTTGTCTCCCATTGAAGTCATAACTTGTTTAATTCTTGCCCTTTAAATTTAAAGCAGCTGCTGCCATTCGAACTGCGTAACTGAAATTTTTTAGCCACATGGTGGCAAGTTTCCAGGCCACTAGCTTCCTATGCTTATATGGCACTGACATTAATAATACCTCTGTTTAGTAACAAAGGGAAGTATTTTCATGACCGTTTTTTTCCTATCACAAAAGCTTAGATAATCAGTAAGTATTAATAACACCCTCCTCTGCAGGAAAGTCTTAGATCGAAAACAAGATATTCTCATCTAATCTCCTTTGCTAGTTTGCTGCAGAAAAAAAGTCTTGGTCATGAGAAGTAGAGGAAAACTTTTCTTTATAGGAATACGTTTCAATTTCAGGACCAATCCATCTTACATCTTCATTGTAATTTACACATTATATGCTAATAACAAAACTAATTTTGTATGTACCCAAATATTATGAAAAGGACAAGGCCAATCTTCACACTGAGTCTCACTGTTACAGTAAATGGAGAGGACTCTGTGGTGGTATTGTTAAGTCCAAGATGAGCAAACAATAATCCTCTGCTTGTACTATGTCTGTGGGCTGAAGCAGTTCTCAGAAAACAGTTTCTTCCAACTCATACTTGTTATACTTTATTTCATACAGGTTGTCCATAGCTTTTCTTCTTTTTTGGGTTTTTGGGTTTGGGAGGTTGAATAGGCATCCCACTACTCTTCTACCAACCATTCTTTGAGCTGCAATTGCAATGGCAATACCTCTAAAAATCATGGGGTTTTTTTTGTACCCTGGCAGTATTAACAGTAGATAGAGTTCAAAGCCTTGGGGATACTACAGACACAATATTAGTGAAAAAAGAAAAACTTTTTTTTTTATCAAAGAGCAAAAAAAACCTTCTGATTTCCTCGGTTCTGCAGAGGAGGATTTATGTGCAAAAGACTAAATGAATACATGTAAATGACACTATCCTCCGTGTAACTCTAAAGTTGATCCTGGAACTTGCTCAGAGAAAAATGGGGAATAATGAAGTGCGGCGTAGCTGAGATTTTGAGTGACACGTGTTTCTTTGATGACGGAGACCAGTAAAGAATTCAGGTGTGTATTGGCTTTTAGAATTCAGTATCTCAAGTTCAGTTTTAGCAGAAAATTAGAATTCATCATTAAAAGTTTGACTTGATTTTCCATAGTTGAAGCAGGAGTGAAAACAAGTGTCTAAGGACATATTGAGGATCCAGCTGAATATCTCAGTTTTTGAGGTTTCCTGAACAAAATAGAAAAGTGAGGAGCTGTTTAAGACAGGCTGAGGAAGAATGCCTAGGGTTTCTACTTCCTGCAGATAGGTTTGCCCCAACTACTGGAGTGAG